ATTCTCCTCTATAGTCTATAACTCCATACTGTATATGCGAAGTTCCCCTCGAAAGCACTACAATTACCAAAAATTTCCACTTTGAAAAGTACTTTCTGCATTTCTTCCTCAGATGTTTTCTTTCATCAGTCGAAAAAAGACGCCTGAAATGTTTTTTTTTATTGGAGGATTTCCTAAAATGGTTTCACGAAGTGTGCAAAAAATTCCCTGAATTATGTACTGTATTAACCTATCGTTGCGACGAAAAATTAACAGTGAAATCTGTCTTCAATTTTCGTTCGTGCTGAAAGAACCTCACTGGGAATTATTGGACTACCAGATGTCACTCCAGGAAAACTCGTGAAGACGTTTGGGGATACTAGCTTAAATTGCGAGTTCTATGATTTTAGTGCAGATCATTCTGAAACTGTATACTTGGCGGAATGGTGTTTTACCAATTGACGGAATCTTAATCAATCGAGAGATAAATGGCAAGCTAAATTGGCGGGGAAGAAAACAGCTGGCATTTGCTTTAAAACCCGTGCAAGCATTAATTTGAGGATAAAAGGAAAGTTTGCAACTTCTTTCGTCTGCTGTGCATATCTTTTTCATTGCAAACCGTGAACGGAAAAGACTCCTAAGACTCTCAACACGGTAGCCCTGAAGGCGTGAGTGAGCGAAAAAAGTTGGTATTTTTTGCACCATTTTCATCCGATGAATATCTCGATCGTGACTCGCCGCAAACCACGAGATCAGAAAAACTGATAGCACACATCGCTCTCCCTCCAACACTTTTCCATCCCAGACGTGATTTCAGCGCGAAAAAAAGCATAAACAGCAAGTTTTGGCATGAAGTTTTTGCGTCTGATTCCTCCCTTGTGGAACATGTGCAAAATCTTGTTTTGATTTGGCAGCTATTCAATGCCATTCGTCGAGTGAAGTCATTACATCCAATGAAGCTTGCCTGGGTTCAAGGACATGTACGTTTTCTGTTTTAGCCTCAATCAGCTTTCAAAGAAAATTCAAAATGCAGTGAGACCCCGAGATGCGGACATAATTGGTGCATCAAGAGTGTCCCCAAGGTGAAATGTCCCTGAGTTGAGTCTGGTTTTACCATAGACTTACATTATATAATTTTTATTTGGTGTTTTGTGGAAGAAATATTCTTCAGAATTCCCTGAAAAAATATTGTTTGCCACTTGAATTTGAACTAGTGAATACATTTTCAACTCAATAAGAACATTTCGAGCATTATAGTGCATCTCTGTACTGTACACTGAAATTTTGGCATCTACAAAAATAACATTTGTGAAAAAAAGTAGAAGTCCCTCTATGCTGGGAGTAATTTTTTAAATTAGCTGATTGGATGGTAATTTGGTGAGGGAAATGCCCAAGAACGTTTCTTACATCAATTTTAAGGTTGGAAATACAGTATCTGTTTCTTGTAATTTGGCCTGAAATGTATTTGCAATTTTATCACAAAATTGCCCTATGCTGAGTCAGTGTCCTCATGTTGGGTCTTATTTATTGATTTTTTCTGGGAAAATAAGTGTCCCCATGTCAAATTGTCTGCGGGTTGAGGTGTCTGCATGTGGGGGTCTCACTTTATATGAGGCCAACATCCATAAATGGATGTTCTTTGGTTTATGTGATGAACATGTCTTATGGTCTTCCTTCTATAACACAATAAAGTTGAAAAAATTGGTATTTGTTGTAATGAGATTTTGCTATAGTTTGCTATGTGAGAATAGGTTGATCAGGTTATTTTGTGTAGAAACAAATAGAATAATCAGCAGGAAATTAAAAACTTTTTTAAAGTGGGCATCACTGGCAAAGAATTTAATATGGTACCACGCGGTTCCAAAATTATTCAACTTTGAGAATGGCCCTCCTGTGGAATTCAGCAATAGAGTGGCTGCCCCTTCATGTTTGCTCACCAGAGCCACTTTTTCATCCCGGCAAAAGGGAAGATGATTTTTCCGCGATCGAAAGCCGTCATCATGATGATGTGTGTATGTTTCGTAAAATGTTTATTCTCACTGTTCTTTTTTGTTTTCTTCTTTCTTTCGCACATATATTCTCTCACTCATTAGCTCGTATTTCACTTATTCGACCCGAAGAGATTACTGGTCCTTTTTTCTTCTCCTCTACCTTTCTGCTCGTCATTGTGTTTCCAGCGTGGCCCACTTACCCAGTTCTTCCCCACGGTTTGGTTTGAGTTTTGTGTGTTTGACATCCGGGTGTTTCAAGGCATTGACTACATTTTTCAGTGACAAAAAAGTGAGTTGATAATCTAAATTAATTTTTCAGATTTTTTTGAACTTGTAATGTACACGAGTACGCGAGTTTATCCCACTAAAAGAGTTAATTGCTGAACAAAAAGATCTTTTCCCGCTGTTTGCATAGCATTTCAAATGATCAAATTAGATATTTTCGATACTCAAGCCAAAAAAGTAGCCCTTGTTTAATAAACGGGATAAAAATTCCAAAATAGAAAGACGTGATCAAAAAAAAAAAAAGCAGGGGATGCATTCATGTGTATTTTTCGAATTCCACTCAGCAATCCTGCGTATACATTTTTATGCTATATTCGGTGTGCATTTTTGACAATTTGCAAAGTGGAATTTTTTTATTGTGCTTCTAGAACAGTTGAATCTTGCATAGCATGTTTAATTTGGATAATTATGTATTTTTATCTTTATACTGTATATAATTTTTACTTGTTATAAGATATGGAATGGCTTTTTTCCTCGTCGAAGATATTCTTGTAAAAAACATCTTCAGATTTAATAAGCTTCCACGTTTGAAAAAGTTGACATTAATCTTGAAGGAATGCGTAGGAAATGTGAAAAAAACCGTGTCAACCTTCAGGAGGCATCAAATAAATGAGGATATTTAAGCGAAACCTAAACTGCGAAATTATGTAAACGTTTTCATGTTTTTTTCAAAGACATAGATTTAACGTTACATGTGAAATAGAGGGATTATTTCAAAAATGGGAGGATTCCTCTCAATTTTGCTGAGGTTTTTTCACCCGAAGATGACTTAATAACCGTTTCCTCTAATAAACAAGGAAAATAGCCTTATTTTACACAGGGAGGACAAAAAAAAACCAATTTGTGACTTAAGATAGCTCAGTGGCAAATTGAGCTGTGGTGATGACAAAAATATCGAATGAAAGCTTGTTCAATTGCCTTTCCAATGGTATAAACTTGTATGGTTCGAAGTTCCACATAATGATGAAAAAGCCATTTGAATGAAAACTTTGAGAAAAAAGAAGTTGTCAGGCAACTTTTTCCACTCAGCTGCTGTTCTGAAGAGCTGCTTGCACCAATAAAGGAAATGCATGATGCAAAAATGTAACCAACAAACTTCATGCTGTCTTGGAGAGCCTGCAGCACGTGTTCCCAAAACTCAGACAGAGGGGTCCAAAATGGGGAAGGCAATTGACAAGATGGGATGCTGCTGGGCTCCTGTCCTGCCTGCTGGGTGTTGCTGGGTGCTGGCCTCTTCCTGCTCCCATCTGTGACCCACCCCATGCACATTTTTTTTTCTGATGGATGACTGGATTGCAGAAACTGATCTTAAGTGAAAATGATTTTAAAGTTAACTAATTTGGGGAGAAACTGCAATTTTTAATTAAATTTGAGTTTCAGTTTACCTCAAGCTGATTTTGAGTAAAGCTCAACTTGAATTAACAAATCGGTCCAGTCAATCAGTTGAATTTAAAAAAAATTGAACTTCTGATCAGTTTCTGCAATGCAGTAATCCAGAAAAATTATTTTGCATGCACTGTGTCACTTGGAGCCACTAGGCCAGCGCCCAGCAGCACATGTGCACAGGGGGAGACCCACAGCATCCCATATTGCCAATTTACTTCCCCGTTTTCAACCCCTCTGTCTGAATTTTGGAAACATGTGCAGACTCTCCAAGACATCATGAAGTTTGCTGGTTACATTATTGCATCATGCGTTTCCTTTATTGATGTGAACAGCTCTTCAGAACAGGAGCTGAGTGGAAAAAGTTGCCCCTACAATTTGTTTTTTTTTCAGTTTTCATTCAAATGGTTTTTATTACCATTCTGTGGAACTTGGGACCATACAAGTTTATACCATTTGAAAGAGATTGGAACACGTTTTTATTTCGTGTTTTTTCATTGACACAGCTTAATTTGTCCCGCTAAGCTATTTCAAGTAAAATTTTAATTTCCTTTTTTGGCACACCCTGTACATGAATTTGGTCACTAAAGGCGTTATAGTATCTTGAAGTTTTCAAATCGATCTTTTTTCACGCCTGGTTGAGCAATTCAGTTTCGAATTCCGTATGGGTCTCGGACAGATCCGGCATTAATTACTGTTCTAGAGGTGATTGATGCATTCCTATTCCTATAGATCAAAGCTTGCTTTCTTGGAAACTTTCTTTGATCCACATCTTATCTGAATAATTCGGAATCAAAAAGGAAAGGGAAAATTATACTTCTCCGGGGATTTGTATGTTTGAAATACGGTTCTTCAACTAGTTTAGTGCAAGTTTTCTTGCGTAAAATCATTGTTGATACAACTAACAGCAGTAATATGTAGAAAATATCTTTTGTGCTTTTTCCCCATTATAGTATGTGTAACTGTTTTTTTAGAACGTACATTTTTCAGAGGTTGATTTTTTTATTGGGCCAGAAGTTCAGTCAAAATCTCATCAATTCTGATTTATCGGTACTATCCAAGAGAACTCCGCATTGAAAGTACGGTATTGTTAATCATTCATGGAATTGATGTAAGTCAAGCATTTTGGTCAATAACTGAAGTAATTTTTATCAAGCCCAAGTTACGTTGAATTTGAAAAACGAGCTTCTTTCGAAGTTCCGCGACTTCTTCTACTGACATCTGTTGTCGAAGATTGAAACCACTCACATATCAACGTTGACGCAAAACTCACAGTGTCAGCTTAAAAAACTGGCGGCTATGTGAAAATAGTCTTTCCATATACGGATCAAACTAAGGTATAATTTATTAGAAATAATGCGGTATTTTTGAAAAAAATGACTGTAAAAATGTTGCCATTTACAGTTCTTTTAATTTCCCAACTACTGTTGACAAAGGAGGAAAAGCAGCGGAGTTTGTTTGAAAATTTCAGCGTCGCCGTATTCATTCATGCAACGTGAAAATGTCAGGAATTAAATTTTTTCCATCACAGCAAAATCACAGAAAACCTGTCAATTCAACTAGCAGAATTCCCAATCTTGATGATCCTTCGGTCGGCATTCCACAGGACAAGGGATCTTCATCGGTCCATGTCCATTAGCCCCAACAAAATTGTTCCTCACTGTCAAGTTCCGCTGTGACGGCCACGGGTCTGAATCACCAAACGTTTTGCAGAAATAGCTGTCATGAATCTTGCAAAAACTTTCTAGAATAAAAATAGTAGAAATAAGATACTGTACTAAAGTCACCTGAATTACCCAAGGCTGTTCGAAAACTCACTGGCCAGTTCAGGAGTCTTGCAAACAGCTGGATATACGACGGATCCAATGATGACTTGGTCCAGTCCTTTCATGCTTCTAATCACTGGATTTGCTCCAATTTGCTTCAGCATCTTTGATTCTATCTCTTCCCAGTTGACATTTTTGGCCAATTGGGACAGCTTACTTGTACCCCACATGCCACCTGTGTACCAAAAAAAAAAACCTGAATTTTTTGCTCTTATGGTTCAAATCATTTGAGATGACTCCACCGAGGATTGTAGCACCGTGATTGGGATTATCCCGCATTGAATGCAAAATTTTTCCAGAACTCAGCCAATCGTTGACAGCGTCCAATTCTCTTTGAGTGATGTCAGAGTCCAAGTCACGACTGAGGAATATGTCAGTTCTTGGATCTGCCATGGGAAGGAATCTCCAGATCATTGGGTGAACACCTGGAAAAGAAGCATGTCCATAATTCTTTCGAAAGTTCATTTGGATTTGAAATATTTTGTGAATAGAAGGTTTACACTGGGAGAATTCAAGAGAAAAAATACAGCTTTATCGGGGTTTTCTATACAGAGTAACCGTCTTTTCTAAAAATAAATGATGCATCTTTGGAATTGAATCAACTCAGTAAACCTGTACGATGGCACTTGCAGTTTTTTCATGGATTTCATTTTCTTCCACTGGCCGGATTTGGTTGAGTTTTTCCCCTTGCCAAAAACTTTTTTTTCACCCGAGACTTGAAATATTCACGTGTTATGTCTTATCATCAGCAAGAGTTATTTGTTATTTTCATAATAATACTCAAAATATCTGAAGCATAAGATCCCAATGATACTTTCTTCAAAATATAATGTTCATCAACATTACAAAATAGGTATTCATCCTCAACTTTTAGAAACTCTAATGTGAGTCACACCTTTTCCAAGTCTTTTCCAGGATATGAACGTGATGAACCTGAAAATTGTTTTAATGTGCAGTATTACATTGTTTCTAGCTTGAATCTGTTCCTGATACAATTACTGTAAAGGGGTAATATAATACTTCACATGATTAAATTCTTCACTTGACATTTTCCTTGCTTATAAAATTTTTAAAGCCAATCTATTATTTACACTTTTGTCAGAAAGATGATAGATGTCAGTATATTTTCCTGCTTTTATTCACTCAATTTGCAAAATCAGCTCACGTTGTGGAATGTAATCAAAACATGTTTCATTTCATTTAAAGAAAACAAAGTAACTTACTTGGAGAAGCGTATGAATCAAGTGGCGCTTGAAGGCTTTTGACGTAGCAAAAATCTATATTGGCAAATTCGCAGCTCGCTTTGCACATGACGGATCGGAAGTTGGGGTCAGTTGCTTCAAAATCATGGTAAACACGGATCACCCAACCCTCGGCAGCGGGGTAAAATTTCTCGCACATTTTCGCCACTGTAGGCAATCGCTGAAGTTTGAGAAAACTCATCAGTTACAGAGGCGAATTGTCAACAGGAAAGCTTGGTTTCCCATCAATAACTTACCTGTAAATATGATGGATTGTCGTATGCACTAAAAGAAATAACTTTTTGGTGGAATCCTCTCAGAGAACTGCTTTGTGATGGACACCGGTCAAGAACCTTGTCATAAGGTTCTTTGTTGCTGATTTCCTTGTCTTGGATAATTATTTCACGTGTACATCCACATTCCTGAATAGAAATTTCTTGTTCGTTGGCAGATCTCCTGAAGTAGAATTTTTTCATTGCACATAAAGCATTATATTCCTGAATGTATTTGGAAGAAACACTCAACCAATGTAATCTTGAATTCTTAATAGCTATATAGGAATGTGAGAACTCTACATTAAATCTAACTAAAAACCATTTGCCTGAAACATGTTTCAATCCTCGGATATTCTCAGAGTGAAAGCGGGACAGACTCCATTCAGAAACCATTGAATTGCACTTTCAAATAAAACCTAGTTTTTACTAATTTGAAATAAAAATATGTTTTCTATAAAACGTTCACAATAGTTTGTTTCATGGAAGAGTTGAAAAATAGAAATGTTAAGAAAAGAGTGATTGTGTCAAGCTACTTGCATTCGGGGAATATTTAGAAATAAAGTAATTCACATTTCAATACGAAATATCAGGCTCTGCATTTTACTCTTGAAAGAAAGTTATTAGGAAATGTTTGCCTTCATTCACGCCATCCAGGCCTTTAAAACGAGTTTGAAATCAGAGAAATACAGGTGGTACCTCACAATTTGACCATCCCTCACTTTGGAAATCAAACTTGCTGGGACATAGAATTGCAATTCTAATTTTTGCCCCACAATTCAACATGCAGAGAGATTCAAAATGTCAAATTTTATGTAAAAAAAAAATACCACATGTGACATTGTCTCGTAATTTGACGACTTTTCAATTTGACCCTTACCTGGGAACAGATTAAGGTTGAATTGTAGGGTACTACATACCAGTTGTAGTCCTTCAAGAAAATTCAAGTATAGCATTCAGATGCAAAACAATTTTGAGAATAAGCCTCAAACACCGTATACTAGCTAATATTCTAGTCCACAGAATATAACTTAAACGTCCGCAGTGGGAGGAATGACCAGTAGGATCCTACAGGGGTCTGGGGGGGGGGGGGAAATAATAAGGACGTTGTGTAACTTGTGTCTGTGGCCTTTTGCACCTTGAATTAATTTGCCTACTTGAAAATGCATCAATTAACATTAAGTTGTCAGGATGGCAGAGCGGTCTAAGGTGCTGCCTTCAGGTCACAGTCTGGTTCTACAGGCATGGGTTTGAATCCCACTTCTGCAATCGTTTTTTCATTTTTTTTTGTCTGCACTGCGGACGCTCTACTACTTGATAAAAGGCAGTAAATTAAAAGAGCTGATCATGCACATACGTTTCATTGGGACTCATTATTGCCTCTTTCTTCCTTGTTCCAGGCAATAATAGAAAATACACCTGCGAAAAATTACTGATCAGTGAACGAATCTTGCTCGAAAAATTCAACAACGAGCTCACTGAAATTGAGTGACATCTTGTGCGGTTCTCGTTTCAGTTTTGGGTTAATAAACGATTAAAGAACTTGACCCTCTTCGCCTTTGACAGTTCTTAGGTAGGACGCTTTGCGTAAAGATGCGAAAGGTCCTAGAAAAAAATGCCAATAATAATCACAGCATCCAAGGACACGAAAGAGACAATAAAAGCTGTTGAAGAAAAAGTTGTTGATCGAGAATATTTCCTGACCCACCCGTTTTTTATATAGTTTCTTCTTCTCAATGTCCACACGACTGGGCCGACGACGTGTTCCTTTACACTCTTTCCAGGCCAGGTCATGTCAGTTTTTTTGTTGTTTTCGTTTAATGACCTGGAATGACGCGTCCACAAGTTCCCGAATAATGATTGCGTGTGTTTTATGCATCCAACTTGCTTCACTGTGCATGACCCCTATGCGTGCAAACGGCTTTTTCTGGGATCGATGAATGGTATTTCCTTTTTTTTTTTCTTTGGACGAGAGTTTTTTTCATTCGTTGCTATACGTTCTGAAATTTGGCCCTGAATAATAAGGGTCGATTCACAGGTTCACGGCATGAAAAAGGACTCGAGTTTCGGGGTATTCAACATTATACCTGAGCATTTTCCTCTGCTGCTTAGCGACAGCATAACAATCGTTGGTTGGTCGAACAGAGAGTGATTGAAGACACCTGGAAGACATCCATGTGCAGGTCATACCATGTCTAGGTCATACTTGACTTATGACATGCACACAAAAGAGGAGGCACGCAGCTCACAGATTTTTGGTGTACCCTATAACTTCTCCTTCATAATTCCCGAAATTGACATGGCAATATTTACAAGGGCTACTGTATGTGATGGATTATTAACCCTTGTGCAGCAAAGTTGGGATATTTTTTTCAAAATTTTGTGCTCAGTAACCCTGAAAATTTTGGAAATCCAAGGCCCAAGTTTGAAAAAAAATCCACTGATTTCTTTAATCCTGCAGAACATTTTGAATGGAAAAATCCTTGAAATAATTGGTATTTTTCCAGCATTCCTAGCATAAAATTAGCACTGGAGATAACTCAAAATAGTGGAAAATTTGCCTCCAAGATTTTTCCTGAATTCAACCTTCCTGTGGGGTCGCAACACGTGGCATGACCCAATCGCAGTATCTGTGCTTGAGGCACGCAAACGTCACCAGGCAGAGGAAGGTACACGCAGTAGCGGAATCCTGTTGCACACCCAGTTTGCCGCATTGTGGTAAACGGGGTGGCAAGATATCAATCAAGGAAGGAAACCAATGGCTCTGGAGCCCACCCTCTCATCAAAGCGTTGCCCTACAATGGGTGTGGAACTTAGCAATTCAGAACACACATACTGTACAACACACAAACATAACACATAGAGACTCCAACCGACTCGACACGGACTAACGGACACACCCAACAACTCATTTTCTCGATCACCCTGAGGACATTCCTCCTAGGTCGGCTTAAAGGCTAAGTACTCTGTCATTCTTTATTTCCAAATTCCTTTGTTGTATCTGGCCCAACAAAATTGGTGGCCAGTGGGTTTGCCTTGAAAAGGCAGAGACCGTAGGCATTCCCCTTTGCAAAGTCCCTCCTTATTGCCTGTTTGTGGTTGGATTTTGCGGAAACCCTTTTTGAATTTAAGCAAAACCCTTTTTGAATTTAAGCAAAACCCTTCCTGGTGCAACGCGCATCAGTTAAGGGATTTGGGTACTCACCTACCTTGAATTGCAGCTCACTGCTCATTGTCAGACACTTTGCCACACACACTGCTAATCTCCAGTAGGCTGCACCCATGGCAATAACTGCAGTGGCCAAGCCCAAGGCGGCAGCAGCCCAGACTGTTGTCACGGCTACAGCCACTGCTGCCATTCTTGTGCCACCACCCCAGAACAGGGGTTGGCACAATGGCAACAGCAACACTCTGTGCAAACTAGACCACCTGGGGCAGTCCCAATCCCACAGCCCCCATGCAAGTGGCAGCGGTGCAGGCACTTGTCCAACAGGCTGCATAGCTGCTACCTGCAGCAATCCTGGTTGGACCAGTGTGGGTCTCAGCACCATAAGGCTGCACCTGCCATGCTGGCAGCGCCTGCAGTGCCTGCGGCAGCAGTCCCCATTGAATCATGCCCTCCATCATTGGGGGCATTGAATAGGGAAATCCCATTACCATATTGGAGGTGGTTCAACTCACCTTTAGGGGGAGGTGGCAAACTCACCCAAACATATGACCATGGCTGTTGTGGTGCCACACCATGAGCCCTGGAGAGAGGCCAATCCCCAAGCCCTTCCATGGTTGGAATCCTTTGCACCTGTCCTTGCAGACTGGCGCATCCTGACTGACACCACCCTCTTCTTCAACATTGTTCTGTGGGGAGGCAATCTGGTGCGGTAGTACCAGCATGTTGCACCACCTATCTGGACTGCAGGGTTCCAAGGAATTCTAACTCATCTGGGACTTGTGGCCAGTAGGACTTTGGCAATAACTGGATGCATTGCAGCAGTTGCAGGTACCCATTCCTGCACCAAGGGTATGCATGGCGCTGGAGGACCCCAATCTGGTCTCTGATGGGGAGCTCAATAACTGGATGCTTTACTACACATACCAGGACCAGATCAATATCCTGGGGGATCTGCGCAAGGAGCAGTGCTCCTGTGATGAACAGTTTCAGGCATATATCTCAAACAACTTGTCATCAGCCCAGGGGGTTGCATTGTGGCACCCCTCCTCAAAACCTTGCTGTATCCGGCCCAGTGCAAGCCAAACCTGAACACTGGTGCCCAGCGCAGTCAATTGGTGGTGAAGCTTCTCAAGGCAGGCAGCCTGCTGGCCCAAGCCTATGCAGACTTATTTGACAACTGGATTGATGAGGGTATGATGACCCCTACCACCCTGGAGGAGATGAACCAGCAGGACATTGCCTGTACAAATTTTATCTACACAAAAAGAAATGTACAGTCTTAGAAAGATGTCTTGATAATTAATCTCCAATTTAATGGGTTTTTTGGGTTAAGAAGTGTTTTGCAGTATGTAGAACAAATGATATACAAAGCAATTGGCCAGTGCGCAACCAGCTGAAAGATTTTTTGCGCAAGCTTTGTTTCATGTCAACAATTTCAAGAATTTTGTACAACACCTTCTTCACAATATCTCTCAAAAATAGGGTTTCACAAATATCAGAACACTCAAAAAACGTCAGTTTGGGTCAAAGTTGAGCATTCAAGTAAGTAAAATCCTCTCTCCTCTCTCCTTTTATATTTGTCCTTTTCCCTTAAGAGAATTGCTGTTGCGTATATACATGGTTTCACCAGAAATGGCTGTTATGTCGTATATTTTGAGCTCTTATATAAAGGAGAATTTGAGTGTAACAAATTCAGCTTCTCCTGTCAAATCTTTTTGACAGAAACCAAAAAGTTCAGTGACCCTCATGTTTTCAACACGTGATTTTTTTTTATTGTGCCCTTTGAGGAACTGGAGGAGAAGGAAATTAGGACCATATGGGGGTTGTAAAATCTCAGAGCTTCTGCCCGTTTGATGGGCTATTTGTCTTTCCCTAGTGTAGGGTTTTGCTGATCTGGTCTTCTTTTCATGTTCTGTGCCATTTTGTGTGACAGCTTTTATTGTCCCTATTTAGTTTGGTGCACTGATTTACATCGGCACGTTCTACTCCAGTTTTGTAGTCAAAAAACATGGGGGGTATTTTTTGTGGAAAATCCCCACATTGCCAACACAGAGGTGCCACATCATGGGATTGTGTGCACATGTAGCCCATCCACACTGCTTCTGGTGGTCATGGCCGGCAATAATGCTGCTGACCCTGGCAGTCTCTTGTGTAACCAGTTGTTCAGCCAAGGGGCAAACATTCAGCCTCACATCACCAAAATTCTTCTTTGATGGAGGTTCACCAAGAGCTTTGCAGTTGGGGACATTTGGAAGGCATTTTTTCAGGTCAAGCTTGCCCCTGAGGATCAGTGGGTTCTCATCTGCTGGCCCAGATCATCATCCTGTTATCCTACAAAATACTCAATACTTTGTTTTGAGTTTCTTCTACAGCTATGTCCTCTTCTTTAAATATATATGCATATGGGAACACAACTTTCCCATGGTTTATTTTCCCCTGTTTTGGTTTGGCAACTTTTGCACTATCCTATATTAATGCGCATGACCCATTTCTCCAGTAACTGCACATTACTGTTCTTCTCCTGTGGACAGTAACAGATGTCAATTACTGTTCCCTGAATTCAGATTCTTTCTCTCAACTTGTATTTTGCATTAGTTCCCAAGAACACAACATCCTGGCCTTGAGACCTGGATCCATGTCCCTAACTCTGAAACTATTTCATTTACTCAATATCAGAAAGCATATATGTACTTCTGCTTTCATATTATATCTTCAGAATCTTCAGAAGAGAATCATTGCTCTTCAGCCAAGCACCTTTTCCAAGAAACATTTTTATTTTGGCAAAGGAAAACTTTTCCAAATTAAAAAAAACTATGCTGCTGGACGGATTTGAATTGGACAGATTGGGGTGGATCTGTCAGATTCATTAATACTGTATCCCCTTCTTGTCCAGTGTCCTGTATAATATTGAAAATGAGACCTATGAAAAATAATTTTATGAAAATGGGATGAATTCAAGGGACTGTATGCAGCTTCTCGCTATATCAGAATTTAAAAAGCTTTGAACTTATCTCTCATCGTAGAAAACCCCAAAAAAAATTGTCCAGTTCCGAAATTTCTGCTTTTTCCTGGATTTCCTGGATTCCTCGCAGCAACATGAACGAAACTTCTCAGAACTACATGTGAAGGATTTTTGGTGTGTGTATATATTTTTTCATATTTGTGTTGGGTAAGAATACTCTGTATGTGCGAGGAATCCAGGATACAGAAAAAATCCGATTGATCCTTGAAAAAAAAGATGGAGCCAAGATTTAGAAAAAAGAAGAAAATAATGAACTGGCTAAACCGGAAAAAATCATATTTTTATCATTCTCCACAAAGCACAGAGCTTTAGGGCTTGTCCAAAACTGGATTTGGCAGGACCCAGGAGAGGAACAACCCCGGCACACCATATCGCAGTCATTTGCTCAATTGAACAAAAAAATTAAAATCCTCTCAATTCAATCAATTCACTAAACCATCTCGATCCGACACGAGCAGAAACATTTTCGCCAAATTTCTCCTCCCACGCTGTTAAACGCTCTATAATCACTGGACGGAACTACAATGAAGAAACATCCCCTGGGGCAATCCATGAAAATCCCCTCATGTGAACAAAACGAAAAAACAAAAAAACCAGTCACACCCGCCACTCATCATCCGTCATATTTGGAGCAAGCCAAGACAAACATTACGTCTTTGATGGTTTTCACACTGGTTCGAACCAAGAACATGAGTTGGTACTCCTCAAAAATCGTGAGCCATTTGGTCGCAGAACGTTTCATCGCCACTGAGGACGGGATACCGGGTGTTGATGGGGATGTTGGTGAGGAGGCATTTGAGCTTCGGCTTGCTGTTGCCTGGGTCCTGATGAGATTGTTCAGCACATGGGCTCTCTCCAAGTCCAGCCACTGGTGCAACATCTGCCAGAAACAAACTTACATTTATAGACCTCAATATACAGACACCCTGACATAGGTATAAAAGATTTTGCTGAGGGACAGCTCTTTAAACTCAAAAAATCTGCCCTGACATCAGAACAAAGTGTTTGGTTATGAACATTCTCCACAACTTATTGAATTGAATTGAACAGCAAGCTCCATTTTCTGCTTTCAGCATTCACAAGGTTCAAACAATGTTCCCAAATCCAAAATTATTTGGGGACTTATTCCCAAATTTTGATGAACAGGAGAACAAATTAACCCTTGGACGGCAAAGGGTTCCTTTCCATTGCGCGGCAAAGTCAGGATTTTCTCGGGTGGTCTCGCATTTCATTTTTCCTGAAGGCCACAAAAGCCAAGCCAGGTCACCTTGGGCAAAGTCAGACTTTGTCCAGCAAAACGGTGCTGCTAATATTTCCCAAAGTCGGACTTTTTCTGCTAATCTTTTTCTGCCTCTGAATAAGATAGGAGACAGACCGTGGGACTTACTTTCCCAACGTTTACAGAGAAGAATGCAACTAATCCTGCGAGAGGCTAAAAAAAAGCTCAGCCTTGGTGATGCATTTTTTTATTTTTGGGCAAAGTTTTTCTGCGGATTTTAAAAAATACATCGGGATTTTGCCCGACTTTGCCCTGGGTGGATTGTTCCTCTTTTTTTAAAAACCTGTCCTGACAGACAAAAAATTTTGCGGAAAAAGTCCGACTTTGCCGCACAAAGGTTAAATATGTTTGCAGTGAAGTTCTGGGAACACGTGCTCTGACATGCAGACACTCTGGCAAAGGGACAATATGTCCTAACATCAATAACATTTGCCATCTACATCTGCAGCCACACAGTATAAAATAGTTCTGTACACATTGTTAATGGCCTCAGGAAATTTTCACTTTCTTAGGCTTGAGAAAAAAGGCCTTTGAGTTAGGGAGGTTTTTAATGCATTGTTTCTAAGAAAATGAAGACAAGGACTCGGAAAAAAATTTGAATTAGTGAGGGTCCAGTTATCCAGGGTTCAACTGCTGTATAACCAGCTCACTTTGTCAACAAGCTCCTGCTCCTCAGTCTTGGGGTCGATCTCATCAGCATCAGGTCCCCAGAGCAGAAACTCGAGCAAGGACTTGACGTGGGTCAAAGATCCGGCCCTTTCTTGCAGCAGCAAATCTCCGGCACACGCAAACGCAGACGACAACCGGAAGTGGCCTGCGATCCGGAACGGACGTCCGCCACGAGACGTTTCCACGGGTGAATCGACACCCAGGAAGTACAAGAGTGTCGCCACGGCAGTTTGGCACAGAGACAGTTTTCCAGTCGACACTGACGACGATATCGAGGAATTGTGGTCCGCGCTGCTCAGCAGGGAAATGACGTCGTCGCACAGCAGAATCAGCCGGAATTCTGACTCTTTGGCTGATGTGGATATCACGAAATTGTCCAGACTGGCATCCAACTAGAACAAGAAAAAAACATTTGCATTCAAAAATTTTCACAGGATAAAAAAAAAAAGAATCGTTACGAAATGCAATCAAAGGACTAGCCATTTTTTTCTTCCAACAGTGGAATCGAAAAATGTGTGAAGAGAAGGGCAGGTTTTTTTTGCTCGATGCATTTTTTGTTTCAAATATAGCACCCAAGAAAATCTTCACCAAATTGAAAAGAAATCGACATAAACAATGAACGAAGCGAGAAAAGCCCGTTGAGAAAAAGAAACGGCATGCATAATTTTTCGTGGAGAATAATTCTCAGCATATAAATTTCAAGAAGAAGGCCAAATTGGAATCCACCAAAAATTTAACTATCGACCCTTTTTGACAGCTAAAATTTAATTTTTCAAATGAACTTTTTTAATGTTTTCCAACAATATTTTTCTTGACTATTATTATAGGCTCGTCCTCATTACGTGAATCATAATTTTCTAATAAGGCACTGAAAACTTTCTCTTCCCCAATGCATGAGTACTCTTGGTTTTGAAACGCCACTTTGAAAATCGCAAAAAATTATATTATAGCTTAAGAATAGCATTAAAACTGAGCAAAAAATTTTTTTCAAATACGATAAAATTTAAATGTTCATGCTTTCATCATGAACATCAAGAAAATTCGCGTGAGCCCAAAAAAAAAGGCCAGCCGAAAAAGAAGAAAGTTATTAAAAGTAATCCCAAAAATAATGAAAGGAAGCACGCCAAAGCAAAAAAAAATATTTTCGCGTCCTTTATCATCAATTAATTTCGTCGTATTTTCGACATCCCAACAATTACATGTATTATTTTCGCTACTGAGAAATGCGAAAGCGCACTGAAGCCGATTTCATCAACTTTCTTTGATCAATCTTCTGTATATCAGCCTATAACAAATTGCAACAACAAAAAATGCTCGTCAAATTCAGCAATGAATGAGTAAAATGAAATGCTGGTATAAAAATGAGCTGAGCCCAATACCTCTTCGATTCCCTGCGCTTGCAGGTGCTTCAAAGCTGACACCAGCTGTAGCATCACAAAAACTACTCCCTTCTCATAATTCTCCGTCTCCTGGAAAGCCTCTCTGAAGTTCTGCAAACTCGTCACCGTCATTCGTGGCAGAACATGAACTCCTCCTTCACACAAAAATTAGACAATCATGAACATAAGAATTATCTCAATCATCTGAGAGAATCGGACGAAAACGTGCCTTGTTTGAAGCCGTCGACGACTTGACCAGCATCGCGTGCTTCCACGAGATACTTTCTGGGTAACGTGTCCACAAATCCACGCGTGGACGGCAGTAAAAACGGCTGCGACCGTCCCGACTGCGACCGTCCCGGAGAAGACGTCACCGTGTTCATCAGGTCCGATCCGCAGACCATAAGAGTCACGTCGGTGTCGCTGTCGTGTTCTGCTTGCAAAAACAATCTTCGTCCCACTCGAACTTCCTGTGACGACCATTCACACATTTCATGAGCAGTGCTGAATTAAAAAAAAAAAGTATTAAAATATATGTGCCACTCACATTGAATTCATCCAGGACGGTGAAATTTGACCAGCGAAGTTCGGGAGAGTCTTGGATCACTCGCAGATTTTCGGGGAGCTCGACGTGGTCTTGCACCTGCATGAGTAAAATTCATCAATCATTTGATTGATCATTTGATTTTTGAACATAAATTATTTGTTGCTTGTCAGTGTTCACAAGGTTCCAAAAAGGTTCCTGCGCACATCAATTCAACACATTCTGGCATTAAAAAACATTTACTGCCTGTTTATTCAAAGAACATACGTCACATTAAATTCAAACGCATGAATAATGACTTTATGCCATCAATTTTTTTAATGACAAAAATCACAGCACATGGCTATAACTGAGCGAAAAATTCAAGAAAAAGGTGTTCAGCCTTCTCCCAGATAATGTTAATTGATTGAACAGTGTTCAAAAAGAATCGCGGAGAATATATTAAATAAAACTAACACTTTTTCCTGGTCTTTTAAGATACTGAATTTTTATTCCGCTGTGAGAATTCTAATGTCTCTTGAAAGTGCAATTCTTATTGTGGTTTGGAATGCTGAGAATAAGAAAAGAAGATATTCTGGGAATTTAGTAAGTTATATATACAGTATTTAGAATGCAGTTATTACCCCACTTATAACACACTTGAGAATTGAATAACATTTTAAACCAAAATTCCATGAGTTAACACTGTTGCATTATCATATGCATTCAAATTTTTCTTGATTCACAAGCTGAATTTTTTTTAATGTGAAAAATTCAATTTTTTAAGCATGTCCATGAGTCTTTTAAAAATCTGGCAAATAAATATTCTACACTCTTCGATTGTTTTCCATTTAAGCTAACAATTTTCAAAACGCAATATTTAATCGTCTTTGAAAAAAATATAAAACATGCGTTAATTTTGTATACATATCTGGCTTGCATTTAAAATCTTTTTTTTTTACCTGGTCTAAAAGTTGGGCCAGGGCCTGATGATTAGCAGCAACAACTGCACCGTAATTAACTTCCAGGGATCGTTTGTGGCCCAGTGTCATCAAGGCCCGAGCCGACGGCTTCGCAGTGCTCGTCGACGACGTCGACGATGCCGTCGACGAGGAATCCTCGCCGTCCCCGGATCCTCTCGGTGACGTCGCAGCTCGCAAACTCAGGCGACTGGCATAAGTTCTCGATGACGGTGGCACGAAAGTCGACAGCGGCGTCGACGCGGATTTATTGCCGAATTCCGCACTGGCGTTGACGTTTGGGACGACGATTTGCGTCAATGGAACAGGGTCCGGGCAAGGGGCAGAAAGTGGTGTCGACGTTATTGCCGTCGGTGGAGGTGACGACGGTGATGTGGGATGGGATCGTGGCACGTTGTAGGTGGTGCTGTTCATGTGGATGGTGTCGAGAGCTGACGACCCCGGTGCGTCGATGTTGGCACACGGAGAAACGGCATACGGCGAGGCCTTTTCAAATGGAAATTCAAAATTACAAATGCGAGAAATCACGATGAACAACACTCGCATCAACAAAAAGGATAATAATAAAATTTATAATGACGATCACACAAACCTTGCATTTCAGACAATGTCGACAACCATACGCAATTTCAGAATGTTCCTAATGTTTTGACAAATTTTATGCAATCTATAGTTTTTTTCATTGAAAAAATTTCAATAAAAATTACTTTTCAATTACTTGTGAAACAAGTGTAGCATACATAAGAAATAATGCATGAAACGTGCATGAATACTTACATGTATTTGTTTTTTTTACGGGGTAATATATTTTTCATGCATGAAACGCCTCTATATATTTTATATCTAAATATACAGTGAGACCCCAAGATGCATACGTAATTGGTGCATCAAGAGTGTCCCTAAGCTGAGTCTTTTTTCCCACAGACTTACATCATATAATTTTTAATTTGTGTTTTATGGAAGAAATAAACTTCAGAATTCCCTGAAAATTTGTTTGCCACTTGAATTTGAACTAGTGAATACATTTTCAACTCAATAAGAACATTTGGAGCATTGAATAGTGCATCTCTGTACTGTACACTGAAATTGTGGCATCTACAAAAATAACATTCAAGTGAAAAAAAAGTAGAAGTCCCTCTATGCTGGAGGTTATTTTTTATATTAGCTAAATGGATGGTAATTTGGTGACAGAAATGCCCAAGAACCTTTCTTACATCAATTTTAAGGTTGGAAATATCTGTTTCTTTTAATTTGGCCTGAAAAAGTTTCAGCTTGCTAGCTAGTCAGGAAGTGAGCAAAATTTGAGTTGCAAAATTTGATCCAGACAAACAAACGGACAAGAAAGCGAGTTAATAAAAACGTGTTAATAAGTGTCCCTATGTCGAATTTTCTGCAGGTCGAGGCGTCTGCATGTGGGGGTCTCACTGTGTCTATATATGGACTTGGAAAGGTCGCTGCAATCCGCGAAAGTTTCCTCACCCGTCGCATTTGCTGGGTTTCAGGTTCAACAGTGGCAATCGGCGGGGGCGGGGGTTCCACGTCTGGGCTTTCTCGCTTGGACAAAGCGGAACCGGTGGGTCTGCAATTGTTGCTCGTTTCTCGGATGCTGTTGCTCCTGTCGGGTTTTGTGGGCGTGATGCTCTGTCTTGCTCCACCTGACCGGAACAATGCAAGAACAAGAACAGAAACAAAGCGGAAGACGAAGCATGTATCAAAGGACTTGAACCGATGCAACCTCTTTATAACCCGTTTGATCGGAAAATCCGGTCCGTGTTGCGTCTGCCTTATACTGACATTAAGTATAAAGGTCAACGACGCCGTCACTGATTTATGAGGCAGCGATATTTTTTGATGAAGTCGATCAAACTATATTCGTGCTCTAACGAACATCGCTGGTTTTCTTTCTTTTTCTTACAATAAATACGTCAAAAGTTGCATTCCACACGTTTTATACATTAAAAATTAAATCAGAAATATACCGTCGAAGAAGTGTCATAACCACTGGAATCCTTCTTTTCTCCTTAGATGTCCTGACAAAAATGCAAAATATAATTTTTGCGCGGCTTGAATAGGATATTACTCTTTCAAATGTCAGGGTGGCATGATTTAAAATATAAAACGAAGGTTCACAATGAATTTTCACCTGAATTGAATCCGCGTTACTTTTTAAAAGTCGAGCGAAAAATATTACCCACCTTAACGAGACTTTCTAAAGCATTGAAACATATTCTTTTTGTGCAAAACCAAAATTCGGATCCAAGAAAAAATGGTTGATGAGCATAAGTGCTCTAACGAATATTTCTTGTTTCGTTTCTTTCTTTGCAAGACGTAAAAAATTGCATTCCGCGTTTTATACATCAGAAATTAAATCATCACAACTATGACGTCGAAAAAGTGCAATAACCACTGTGAGATATACTGAATAAAAATGCAAAATATAATTTTTGCGTGGATTAAATTGGATGTTACTCTTTCAGATGCCAGGGTGGCATAATTTTAACTATTAAACGAAGGTCTACGATGAATTTTCACTTGAGTTGCATTTCCGTTACTTTATACAAGTTGAGAGGGGGGATCTACCCACATTGACGAGATTTTCTGGTGCATCGAAAATATGCACGTTTCGAACGAAACCGAAACTCAGATTTCAGAAAAAAAAGGCATTGATGAGCAAACAAACCCAAATTGGCGTAACTACTTCCGTCTCCGATCGGACTGAGGTCCTTAGTGTCTCCAGCATTTCCTCGGTTCGACGACGATCTCGGTGGTGGCGGTGGTTTCGGGCGTCCCGAAGGCGTCCCATTCATGGCATGCGAAGACGCCGTCGCCGCTGACGCGCTTCCATTGACATCCGGGATTTTCTGGTACAAATCCGGACTTTCCAGTGACGATAGTGCCGGTGACGATGACGAGCTGTCACTTAGTTTCCTGCCATTCGCCAAAACTGACTCAGCCTTTCCGTCTGACTGTTTGCAGTGGTTCGATTTCACATCGTCCAAATCTGGAAGCTATAATCCCCAAAGAGAGTAAACAATATGAAGGATGCTCATTATTAAGCTGATTTGACGTTAAATAGAATACTGTATAATTTGCCCTCATTAATTATAATATAATTTTTTGTATCTCTGACCTGAATAAGTATAAAGTTTGGTTCAAAAGCTTTGTAGTTCAGGGGGTACCTCGCAATTTGACCTCCCACAATTCATACATTCCGCAATTCAATGGTCAAATTTTCTGGGAGGCCAACTTGCAATTTGACCTCCGTCCCGAAATTCGACCTCCTTCAGCCTCATTTCTGTCGTATTTGTGCTGCGCTATTCCTTAATTTTACCTCGTCTCTTGCAATTCAACCTTTTTTATTTTGATCCTGATCCAGTAAAGGATTCGGATGGAATGGCGGGGCAACACCTGTACTCTGAAATTGAATTTTAAAAATGTGCATGTGGATGAAAGAGGATAACGCACCGTTTTTCCACATTTAACAATCTATTTCGAACAACCAACAACTTTGAAAAAAAGAGAATCAGAATTGATGGATGAGGTGCAAATACCTGATGATGATGGTATCTGCAAAATCAAAAGGTTTGGATAATCATTAAAACTGCTTTCGAATAAATAAAAAACCTTAAACCGGATTAACACATTTAGCGAAAAATAAATCTAAATGATTTCGGAGTTTCCAAAAGACTGCTTTTCAAATTGTGAACGTTTCTCTTTTTCTCAAAAGAGGGGCCTTGAGATGCGGACGTGTTCGGTGATTAGACCTTGTCCCTATTTCGGAACACATTTTTCTTGGAATTGAATGAGTTCTTCTGTCGATCATAAATTACACGTAACAATCAACGGTTTTTCTGCTGATCAAAAATTCGGAAAAAGTCTCTAAAAATTTTTTTTTAATCGTTCTTATCAGATTCGATACACAGAAAATACCTGTGCAAAAGAAAAACACATACAATCAAATATTTTGGCATGAAAAAGAGCCCAGCAATAAGAAACCAGCACAAAGATTCATATGCTGTGTACTGATGAAGCTCTGCAAAAATAAGCACAAAATTGGCCTCTTCCAGATTATGAATTACCTGTAAAGCGAACCTAAATAAATAAAAATCGTTTTCAATAGTTTTGAGTATAAAAGCTAAAGTGCATCAGAGATTCATATATACATGTTCGTGAAGTGTCCGTATATGTCGTGACATTGTCCGGATATTGGGGCAGATTTATTTTCTCAAGCGCGCTTAAATCAAATCGTCCGTATGTCGGGGCGTCTGCATAATATCGGGGCTTCACTGAATAAAATACACAGCCAGTCTACAGTACTGTACCTCTTCCTCAAGACCAGACTACTCTTCATCGTTACGTTGAATAATATCAAGAAACACTAATTCTCAAGAAAATTGCAACTACAACAAAAAGAAAAATCCGACGGATATCTGGAGAAAAGCTGCGGCTTTTCTTCCGTTTTGCAGAATGGATGACCCATGGTTCAAGACTTCGCGAAACGATGCCGTTCCATCCATACCCACTCAACCATAATGATGAGGAAAAAAAATCCAGCCCAGAAAATCATTCAAAGGAACAAAACCACGAAGAAAACCGTTGTCACTGTACCAAACACGTTGAATTCTTTCCCTTAACCTTCGCAAGTGAGACGAGAAAATAAAAACCAGGAGCAGTTACGCCAGTAAAGTCGTTCCGGAATCGGTGCAGTCAACCTCGAACCAAAACTTCACGCTCAGTCGCAGTTCAGGGATCTTTAGTTCTTTTATTTTATTTTTTTGGCGTGTTAACCCTGATTATTCATCCATTGCCAAAAAAAAAGTGGACTTGAAGGAATGAAAGAACCGAATCCCTGAATACATTCGTCTTCCACGAGCGATGAACTTTTACAGCCTAGGTTTCTGTACCATGAAAAAAAGGCGGCAGAAATTACGGCATTTTACTCGAATATACAGCAGGGATACACCGAATAACCCAAGTTTTACATAATGGACTTTTTGGCCTATTACATTTCCGATTGTTCTTCGCATAATGGAAAGCACGACCCGGAAATTTTACCCCGAAAATTTCAGACGAAGTTTATTCTGAAAACCAGATCAACAGGAAAAAAAGTTTTATTTCCTAATTTCCAATGATACGTTTTCAGTCATTGTTCCATATTTTATGCAGAAACCATTTTCTGCTATACATCATCACTTGAATTTTTAGTAAAATTTGAAATACGGGCGTGAAGAGTTTTTTTTAATGCTTTCACAATACAGTAATGAAGATTCTGTCTTTTGGGATATTACTTGAAATTTCGTGCACTTTTCGCTCAGCCCTGTTGACCAAGGTTTCTGGTACTCCGTGACGTACGTGACAGTGATATGTTTATTGTACTAAATGAAATGGTTCCTAGTTCCGAGGACTGAAAATTCCTTTTGACCTTAAAACTGACAGCGTGTTAAATTCGCGGGAATTTTTTTCCGGGTGCATCGATAATATCCGAGCTGAATAAAAATGAATTACAGTGAGACCCCGAGATGCGGACGTAATTGGTGCACCAAGAATGTCCCCAAGTCGAAATGTCCCTAAGTCGAGTCTTGTTTTCCCGTAGATTTACATTATATAATTTTTAATAGGTGTTTTGTGGAAGAAATATTCTTCAGAATTCCCTGAAAAAAATTGTTTGCCACTTGGATTTGAATTAGTGAATACATTTTCAACTCAATAAGAACATTAAGAGCATTGAATAGTGTAACTCTGTACTGTAAACTGAAATTTTGGCATCTACAAAAATAACATTCAAGTGAAAAAAGTAGAAGTCCTTCTATGCTGGAGGTAATTATTTAAATTAGCTTAATGGATGGTAATTTGGAGAGAAATGCCCAAGAACTTTTCTTACAATTTGACCTGAAATGTATTTGCAATTTCATGACAAAATGTCTCTATGCCGAGTCAGAGTCCTCATGTCAGGCCTTTTTTATTTCTTTTTCATGATAAAATAAGTGTCCCTTTGTCAAATTGTCCACAGGTCGAGGTGTCCGCATGTGGGGGTCTCACTGTATATTCTTGAAGATGAAAGCAGAACACAGGCTTCTGACAAGAAAATCTCACGATTCAAGCAAGAATTTAAGGCGGGCTAATATTCATTTTTCAAGGTGAACAAGCCAGCAGGTAGGTCGACGATCTCAGGCATTTTCAACTTCTTGCCGAATGCAGGAAGGTCATCCAGAATGTGTTTTTTTTTTCTTCTCCCTTATTTGTCTCATTCAATGCCCATCGTAATTATTCGCGGCAATCAAGGCAGATAATTGCAATCAGTAAAGCCCCGCGAGGCGGAAATGACCGGGTGGAATCCGGGCAAAAGATTCGTCCCGCTTTCGAACCAGAAAAAAGGCCCAGCGTTTCTTCTCTCCCAGCAGGATTACAACGCAGATTTCCTTCTCACAAGTACCCTCTAAAAAAGAGACTTTTGAATCAATTCAAAAAACTTCTTTCTAGCATTGAGAAGTTTCGTCGCTTTGTTCCCAGACCCGAGTGCGAGTCTTCTCGCGGATTAATCTGGCGCAATCTTTGGCCGAGAAGGCGAGTCTATAAACCATTACGAAATCACGTTTCCATTTCAAAATAAAAATTAGGGATTTCCTGAAGCGGTGCAAAAATCGGCGAGATTTCGTGGCAAAATTGGAACGAGGAGATACAAAAGGTAAAATACAGTAAAATTATGTTATATACAAGCTTGATAAGAATTCGGTTTTCAGCACTGCTGTCGGCAGTTTCTTCATCCGGAAAATTTTATAAAAATTTTATCATAACAAATTAGTTTCCTTCTAAAATCTCGTCAGTATAATAAATGTTCGCCTTGATCATGCATGCATGGACCGCGGACATTTTTAATAATTGGCACAATGCGGGAAGACTCAAGTTTCGCATTACTGAAAGATTTTTTTATTTAACATGGCAGGAAGTGTGCAGCTCTAATAAAAATGTATCCACCTTCATTTTAGAATTTTTAAATGACTAATTGGGTAAAGTATTTTTGAAATGATACCAGTCATCTATTTCAGGGAACTTACAGTTGCCTATGAAAAAATTTTATTTGTACACATGCATGTTCTGAATGATTCAGCTTTTAATTCAGTAAGATCAGTACATTTTGAGCAAGGTCCGAAATACAAGAATTGTGTTTTTAATTTCGAATATTCCCTCTCAATTTATCAAAACAGTAGGAAATTATAGCAATTCTTCGCCGTTATTTCGTGGAAGTGCTGTACTTTAAAGCAGTTATTAACTGATTTCCCTAAGATTTCAGTCCTACATGCTCAAAGAACCACGAATTTTATTATAACGAATTTTTCATTACACCGAATTTTTTATCAGTTCCCAGACGGTTTGTTGTAACAAGATTTTACTATGGTTTGACCTCGTTGAACGATAGGATTTTGGTTCAATGGTTCATTTTTTTTAGACAAAAATGTCTCTCTTCATCCAAGTTTTTTTTTTCAAAAGATAAGAATCAAGTGTTGCTCAAGTTACAGATACTCCTTTAAAGGGAAAACATTTTCTGTATTTCTGGGGTGAACAAATGTTTCCACAAAACCCAGAAAACATGACACAGATGGAACAGGATCTGAGCCACAAAAAAATTCGTCTGGGCGGATCACATGAAAGTGTTGTGGGCGAACGTCCCACACGCTCTTATATACGGGAGAGAAACTCAAAACAAAAAAATTAGGAAATATGTGTTGTCTTTTTTTCTAAAGAAAAAATATATTCTTTGTTCCAGGTACGAACTCCTTTTCTCGCCCACTTCGCACCCGTTTCCGTGATGACTTAGCCCACTCCACAGCCCAACCAAAAATGGGAGAAACCAACAAAAAAATATAAACCGTTTTTGAATATGGGAGCGCTTCATTATTCTATCTTTCTTCTTAGTTATCCTTAATCAAGTTCCTCTGCAGTTAAGCAAACAAATCATCGAAGAAGACAGTTGATACGCATACGAAAACGTTAAAAATCGCTTCCAGCAAACAAATGCTTGAAAAATAATTATCCCCGTGATTCACACGAAATTAATTCAGAACACCATCAAATTAGGCGCATCGCAGTAAAAACAATTGAGAATTAGAGGATTAAATTATTTCAGAAATGCATGCCTGAGACACCCACTGAAATCCGAGATTGTTGAAAGAAATTTTCAAAATTAAGTCAGTAATTGAAAATATCAACAGAGAAAATTCTAGGAACAGTGAGACCCTTCATAGAGGATATTCATTACCATTGAAAAAAAAAATGTATATATTATTTCCTTTAGCAACATTTTATCACGTAAGGAATCTAACCTTTCTGTAACTGCTTCTCCCATTGACCACGTGATTATGATGATGATGATGATGATGGTGTTGATGATGGTGATTGCTGTCGTCTTTCGACATTCGTCTCGGCGGCACAATCACATCTTTTTCCGGCATCGGAGCCCTGTTGCCATTCTCGTCACTTTTGCGAATATCCAGAGGATGAACAATTTGCAGCCTGGAACGCTTCTCCTCGTGATGATTCTGCTGTGGCTCGAACGAATACTTGTTGCTGGTCCCTTTCCCGGTCACATTCTTCTCTTTGTTCCCATTGCCGCCCCTCTTGAGCAGTTTCATGATGAAATTCTTGGTCTTCTTCTTGGCCGTGGACCTCGCATTCCTGTTCTCGGGTTTCGGCGAAAAGCAGCCCGTTTTACCCCTGGAGAACCCCGACGGGTTCGTTTCGGACGCCAGGAATAAATCGGAAGGACGTGGCAAAGACCGCGACCTCCGCTGCTTTTTCTTCATTCTGGGCGACGGGGACGCCGTTCGCGGGGTGCCGGCGCCTAAACTGTCGAGCAGGAACTGGACGGACGCCGCGTTCGTGCCCGGTGACAAAGTGGCGGCTCGTTTGTCCGAGTGGCGGCCGCGGGTCGGCGACGGACGCAGGATCGACGCCGGGCTGTCGTCGGACATGCGGCGTTGTGGCGGCTGTGGCGCCGGACGCTTGGTGGAGCTCATTCCGGCGCCGGCGCCGTTGGACTGTGGTGACAACAGGGGTTTGTTTTGGTGGTGCTTCAGGCGGGTGGACGCGAAACCCATGACGAATGTCGAGCACGGGGTCACGTTGGCAACGAGGTCAGAGTTGCTGCGCTGCAACGGCTTGTTTTTTGAGTCCCCAAGCTGCGAAATTTGCAAAAATAGCAAAATTCAACAATGACAAATTTTAAAATTTGAATTACAGCAAAAGATTTTTGTTTTAAATTTACCAGCAGGAATTTATCAGTTGCACAGCAATTCATTCTTGAAAATACCACAAAGATTTAAATAAAAAAAACTGGGGGAATGTTGAGGAATTTTGCAAAGTTTCAAATGTCCATCAAGAGTTCAAGACAGCTGGAATACAAAATTTTAAAATATAAATCCCCCATTGATTCTTGGATCCACGTAATAAAAGTTTGTTTCTGTTTATTGATGGAAAACCCGAGAAAATTAAATAACAGATGAGAAGTGCTCATAAAATTAATGAGAGAGAAAAGGAGGAATTAATTCGATGTTTCACGCGTGTGCCAATTATTCACGCAAGATTTCATTCGACAGATTTATATTTTGGAGTGTTTATTTACAAAACAAAAAGTTTCTGATTCAAATTTTGACCAGTCGTAATATTTTGTTGTGGCTCCTATTTTCACTAAACAGAACAGTGGATCAACAAACTCATCAAAATCCCATTCCTTCAAGAAAAAAAACTCCACCCGAAAATCATTCATTGCCAACTTATTTCTACATATAGCAGAACCCCTCTCGGTTCTCAGGTTAGTTCATAGGCTAAATAAAACCTGTGGTATACCTTCAGATTTTCACATTCATGAAAATAACAAATTTTCATTGTTATGAAAAAACAAACATGAAAAAACACCCTAGCAGATAGTTTCCCGAATAAATTCCTCAAATAAAATTCTGCAGACGAGGGAAAGGAGGTGCTCAAAACACCCACTATTGGTCTCGATCAAGCAATCCTTTCACCCCCAGGGCATTGGCACTGGTACTTCTGGCCAAGTTTTATTTTTATTGCGGAACCTATCAGCAGTTCACGGGTACCTTGAATTTTGCATACCCTTTAGTATCCACTGCGCATATCAAAAGGTTCAGGAGTAAAAGTGATAATAAATCGAGCCCAAAATCAATTTTAATGACAATTTCACAGTTGGATACTCGGCATTGCGGACACACAAATTTAGTGAACGGGCAGAAATTACGAGGGAATCGTCGAATCATAAAATACAATCCACCTTTCACTAAAAAAGCATTTTCATGTCAGAAAAATGCAGGTGATTTAAGTGGCATTACTTTTGCGATTAAAGTACTGTATAGTATAATCCGGAGCATTGAAAAGAAAAAGAATTATACATAAATACTGTATACAGTATATACAACTATTAAAGCATACTTGATTGTGATGAGCCATAAATTAGGTATATCCTTGAATATTTTGAACAATAAAGGCTGGAAGTTGTCAAAAATTACAAATTACACATTCCATGCAATGAGATTTAAAAATCCAAGTTCAATTGATATGATCAGCACAAAAATTTCAAGAATGAAAATCCCGGATAGAAATTTGCGGCATACGTTCTTTCTAGGATTCATTTTAAATCATTAAAATCTTGTCATTTAACCCGAAAGCAGTTCATCAAAGAAATTTTTCAATCTTTGGAAGTATATTTCATGGCTGTCTTATAAAATTGTCACCATTTTCTTGAAACTTACTTTGACAATTTGGTGAAAAAGTTTATTTTTCCTCGTCAATTTTTGACTTGATTCAAAAATGCAACAGATTTCCGGCGCCAAAAGAATAAGAAATATTTTTGAAAAATTGGGGGGATGTGAACCAATTTTTAAATTTTATCGCGCTCTACAAAACTCGAATATAGTCAAACATCCAGGTGAATCAAGTGCGCCGCTAGCTGTGAGCAGAAAAACACAGTCTTTTTGGCTTATGAGACACATTTTCAGAAAGAAAAGAAAAAATATTTACAAATTGTCAGAGAGGGAAGAGAAAGGGAAATCGGTTTTAAAAATCGGCCACCTGGATAGTTTGCTTGTGGTCCGGGGATTCCGTGATCTTGAACATCTGCGGGTTGCAGTCCACGTCGCTCGAGTCACTAGAACTTTCCCACGGCTTCGCCGAGGGCTTTTCAAAAGTCTCCATAGATTCCAGAGCATCGAACGACCGCGTCATTCTCGCATTTTCCGGCGAATCCAAAGCATTCGCAGCAGTCTCCAACAAATCGTGCAAACTCCGCGAATTTCGCGCAACCGACGCCGACGACGAGTCAACAACTACACGTTCATCGTCATCGTCGTCATCATCGTCAGGAACGTCGATGTTTTTCCTTTGCTGCTGCTGATGGATTTCCATGAATCCGTCACCCAACGAAAGACTGGGTTTCGCCGCCACTTTCGGCTTGGGCAAAATTGGCGGCTTTGGGCAGGAATCCGCGAATCTCTGGATTTTCTCCAGGTTTTCCTGGTAAGTGTCGGCGGGTTTCGCGTCGTCGACGAGCGGGGCGACGTGTTGCACTGGCAGCGATTTCGGATAAGTGTCGTCCGACGACTGCTTATACAACCACGAACTGGGTTTGCAAAACGGTTTCACAGCAGACACTTTGGGCCTTATTGCAGAAGACGACTTGGTTTCTGCCACTTCTCCTTCTTCGTCGTCTTCGTTTTCTTCCGCAATGACGTCTTGATGATGACAACCCAGGTTACTACTATTGTGATTATTAAGAGGGTTGTTGTCTGCGGGGTTCGACACGGTTTCCACCTGGTTCTCGTCAGGCACTTGGCCATAGAGTAAATTCGTGGGATTCCCGTTGTAGTCCGTGTTTTTGTCTGTCAAGGACCGCAAACGTCGCTCGTCCGGAGTGACGTCGTCGTCGTCGGGAATGTCCAAGTCCTCGTCGTCGTCGTCGTCGTCGTCGTCGTCGTGTGCTGCTGGGTGATGTCTGTCGGCGTCGTCAGCGACGTGATGACCGTCTTCGTCGTCGTCAGAGCCACTGAAATAGGTTTCGTCGCCGCCGTAACCAATCACTTCCACTAATAGCTGTTGGTCCGCGTCCGGAGGAAAACACACATTGTTCACTCGAGCTTTCGCTTCGCGTTTTTTCGGTTTCAGAATAGATTTGGTGATTTTGTGGATGATGACACGAGGATTAGGGCCGCCATTTGTGGTGGTGGTGATGCTGGGGGAAACGGCGTCAGTGTTTCTGATGTCACCACCGCTGCTGGTAAGTGACGATGATGACGAGTCGGCGGCGGCGGCGGTGTTGGTGGTGGTATTAGCCGCCATTCTCGACGCGTGCACGTCGAAGGCCTCGCGAAAGGCCGACACGGAAAACCGAGGTTTGTAAGCCGCCGAATCCGAAGAGTCGGTGAGTTCTTCGGACGATTGTTCGGGCACTACTGTAGATGATGACTTCACTGCAGAAATTATTTTAGGCGGCGGCGAAGAAGGATTTAGGCGTCCGCTCACGACCGCCTCGGAACCTGCACTGGGCTCCGCCGCCTGCGCGCCCTCGCTTGATTTCACTGCACCCGGAATTCCGCCATTCTCTGTCCCGCTGAAAAGCGAGGGAAAAATAAAATAAAGAAATAAATAAAAGCTTCACTTCGTGGGGGACCGTGCTGCCATAGGGACTTAGTTTTTTTCTTTTCTTTTTTTGCATTTTGTTGTAGAAAGGAATTTCGCAAATAGGGTCGGAGAGAATCGTGCGAATCTCCTACTGGCCCATGCACACTGGGTTCCCCCAAATGTGAGACCTGAAGCTTGTCATTCAATAAGTAATAGCACAACTGATATCACTACTTTAAAATCACTACAAACAGTGAAATACACAAAGATCAGCTGATTGTTGGGACAAATACGGTCAAACCTCTAATTGCTGAACTTCACGGGACCAGAAAAATCAATTCGATGAGTTTGGAGAAAATAGAATTTCTTCGGGGGTGAGAAAGAAGAACAGCGGAAAATTGTAATTTGTGATGCATCAGTATTTGGGTCTTAAATTTCTTCTTGGAAAGGAGATGGCAGGTTGCTGAAACTGAAGACAAGGGATAATTTATTCAATTAGCCTTTCAAAATACATTGAATTACATTTTTATAATTTTCTTTTTTTTTGTCGAAAAATTATAGTCAAAAGGCCTTTGAAAATTTGAATGATGGAGGCTTGAGAGAAAAAACTTTCGAGTTAGAAATGTTTTTAATGCAATTTTTCAGTGGGAATGCAGACATAGACTCGAAATAAAATGTGATAGAGGCAGTAGAGTATTTAAAATAATTACTAGGGGCTTGAGCTCAACAGGATTACTGCAACAGTTTCGTAATCATTTTAAATTGTAATCCTTTTAAATCCTTGATTATAATCAGTAAAACCTTGATTATAATCAAAGTTTTACTGCACTTCATCTCAAATTGAATAAAAAAAAGTATCTCTGCAGTTTCATTGACAAGCGAGAAGAAGAAAAGAGAGAAATTGTTTTGTTCTGACTTCTGAGGGATGTATAGAATACTTTTTTTTTTTTATAGAATTTCACAAATAAACTGGGAGAATTATTCGAATTCTCCGGATTTTCATATTTTTTTCCCAGAGAATGATACCTGTTCACTGAATTGGCCAATAGACATGTTAGTTTCAGCAATCATCACCTGATAATGGAGCCTTCAATTTTCAGAGAAGTTTGTCCACTTTTTCTAATTTGTAAAAAAAAATATAGCTGGGAAACTGAATTATTTTCCAAAATGGAAAACCGATGGAATAAAGAAAAACTTTTTTAGTGAGGCTCAAATTTTCATTTTGTTGGAATTTTGAAAGTGGTCATGAAAAAATCGTTCTGGCTAATTTAAAAACCTGGAAGGCGTTATTTTTCCAAGACAAAAGTTCAGAAATTGGAATTTCAAAACATTATTCTGCAAAATTGCCTTTGCATCAACAAAAAAATGAGGGAGACGTCCAGCCGAAATGTGAATCATTATACCAAGCTTTATTCTACTGTACTGTACAGGTTTAAGAACTTCAAGATTTTACACAGCACAGTACCTTGAATTCCTAGCAGACTTATTGTCGACGTCCTTGGACTCAGCAAACATGAAGGCCGCTGCAGTTTTCAGCAGCCTCGGGGACTTGAGCTCGACAGCGCTACTGCAACAGTTTCCAGACGAGTTTCTGGCCACAGAGAAATTTTTCCACGCTGGCTGCAAACTGGCGACGGATGCCGAGTACCGCGACGACACCCTTCCTGGCGTCGATGAAGACGACGACGTCGTCGTCTTATTTCCAGCCACGACGACGACGCCGCTGTCGTCGCTGCTGTCGACGGCGTGTTCGTCGCGAGACTTGAAGCAATTGGAGCACAGGTCTTTGCGCCACGCGTTCTGCGCGAAGTTCTGGCAAATCACAGACGTCATGGTGTCCACTTGCCTTCGTTTTCTTCTTCTTTTTTTTTTTTACACTTTTTCACTCATTTTTTGTTTTGTTTAGTTTTTGCTCTCCCATCATTGACACGAAGACAGAGAGCGAGAGAGAGAAAGAGAGAAAACTCGAGCCTTTCGACGCGGAAATATCTCGTCGTAGTCGGAGCTGACGCATTCGTGTTGTCACATTTCCGGATCACGTTTCGGCCCAGTCATGATCGGCTCGTTCTGGCAAAAAAGTAAATATATATATATATATAAATAAATTATATGTATATACAATACATATATATATACAATGCATTTATATCTAAAAGGCGGCGCGAAAAAGTTTACACATAGATAAACATTTCATTCTTATCTTCAGAAGAGAAAAAAAATGAACCTTGACTTGGGAGAGAGTTCAGTGAAATTACTGCTGAGCTTTTAGTTTCATAGTTACATATACCTTTATTGCTAATATGGTTTGCGGTGACTTATTTGAGAAATTATGACAAAAATCGTAGATTCTACGTATTTGTCAATTTTGAGATCAAGTTAAGATCTTTACAATTTATTATGGTCGGCTTGTTTCAGCAACAAGATTAACAAAGATTTATACAGGGTGGCGCAGAAAATCTTGGTTAAATTTCGAAGAGTATTTTTTCAAAAAATACTCGTACGTAGATTAAAATCTGAATCAGGACTCAAATGAAAGTTCAAATCAATTGATGTTTACTTTTTCGTTTCTTGTATGTTTTTCTCATTCCATGGTTGTCAAAGAACTGTGAAAATAATGTAATTATGCTTATGAAACCCCTTATTAAACTCATTGGATTCAATGTTGAAAAATTTCCGTGCAGACACAAAATTAAATGAACTGGGAAAAGAGAAAGAAAAATTTCGGACAAATTTTAAAGCAATACTTTTTCAAAAACTGAAGAGGATAAAAAATCAAGTCTGGGGTCAAATGAAGGCTTACAGCTGCTTCTTGAGCTTCTTCAAATATGCATCTTCATTCGTTTGAATTTCATGGCTGTACGAAATATAAACCAAAATATTGAAAAACTCTAAGAATCTAAGTTTCCGGAGTTAAAGGAAATTTCCATTCCATTTGTAATATCCAAAAAACTGGAAGTGCTCTTGACCTACATTTGTTGGCAGGGGTATTTAAAATTCATTGACTGCGAATGATGCATCATGGTTTTGAATGTAGTTATGGTAAACTGAAAATCGAAAAGCCAAACTGCGAATTGTTTCGTTTAAAATATTTTTCCGGTGATTTGAATTTTCAACGCTTCAGACGAAACAAATTCTGGATCAGACAGGAGATACCCAGTCATGCAACTTCGAAAAACTTTCCAAAGCACCTGTTGGAAACTTAAAATAATTTTCTTTACATATGGACACCTTGTATATGTGAAGGAAACGAAATTGACCTAGCTTCAAAAATAAAGTTCAACAAAAAATGGACACACCGCAAAGGACACATACTTCCTCAAATCTCTCCGCAAGATAATCCCGAAAATCACTGATCAAAAAAATAGTTGTGAAACCGTCAAAATATCAGTTCCATGTGGAAACTCAACAGGAACCAAAATTTGCATAACAGCGCTTGCTTCCGCATATGCTTACTTTTTTTTTTCCTTCAGAAAGAAAGGAGGCAATTTATCAGCTTCGAACGTGATTCATTCCGGGAAATTTTTTCGAATTCCGTTCATTAAGTTGAAATTCAAAAAAAAATTCCTCGGTTACCTTCAAGCTCAATTTTGGAAATAATTTTATCTCTCAAAAATTTATTCGCGTTTTTCGATGCATAACTGGCCCTAAAATCCAGAGTCGAATATTCACTTTCGAAATGCACTAATTTTCTAGAAAATTCAAGGCATTTTCAGCCAATTCTTAGAAAGTCTGCACATGGAGTGAATTTCTGAACTCGAAAACTTTTCGCACAGTATTTTGAGAGCAAAAAAAATTCATTTTTGAAAAACCAGAAAAAATCTCCATCGTAACTTACAAACATGTTTTCGGTCCCAGCATGTTAATCAATTCTTTTGTGATTTCTAGAAAGTCGGAAGTATAGGTTTCGAAGTTGAATCAGAGCGAAAAAAAATTTTCATCCCGAAAAATGTACGACGCATTTGCCAAAAGAACGGTGCTTGCTTATTTGTGAATGGCATTTCATCGCTGAGAAAACAAATTTGCGCAAAAATATATTTACACAAGTTTCTTTCAACTATGACCAAATTCACAGCATCTCCGTTTAATTTTTTACTCTTCTAATATTCGTGAAATTGTATCTTGAGTGCTTGAAAAATTACTCCCGCAAGTTAAACATCGTTCTCAAAAGCTGTTTCTCAGTTTGGGCAACGGGGTTTGTAGAGAAAAGAGATGGAAAGTCAGCAGCAGGGGGGGAAACTGTGTCAGTCTGCATCTGCTGATTAGGACTCGGTTAGTTTTGCAATCATGAAACACAGGCCAAAAAAGAAAAAGAAAAAAGAAAGAAGACAAGCGATGCAACAGTTGCGGTCCAGGCTCACGCAATTCGAGCTGTCAATCACCGCCAGAAAATTCTTCTCACACTTGTCCTTGCGTCTTTCTCTAACCGAATATTACTTCACGCACCAACGTCCTCAGTGGTATTCTCACTTTCGATAAGGGATCATGGATTCGTTAAAAAAAAATGATAGTGAATCAAGGTGAGCGTCATAGGTATCTCGAGGATATTCGAATGAAATAAAAATCTCAAGAACTTCGCAACTGGAGGCTCCGGGCACTTCAGTCCTTCCAACTGAGCGCCGGGGAAAAACTCAGCGTCTTCCTGAATTTAACAAAGATACAGTAAAATTCCATTATAAAAAATAAAATTGCAACACAGTTTCGTTCTTCGTAATTTCTTCTTAGTCTGGCAGTTATTTCGTAGAGTTAATGTTGATATTTTTTCGCAAAAAACTTATTTTCCTATAGAATCTCGGTAGAGTAAATATTCGCCTGGATTAGGTGTCACTTAAATTTTTACTAATTGGCACAATTTCGGAAAACACAAATTGTTCATAATTGAAAAATCTTAAACAAATATAAATGATACTTTTTTGTATATGAAATCTATAATTGCAGGAAGTATGCAGCTCTAATTTCAATTCATTTATATTTTTAAAAAGTAGAAATGGCTAATTTTTTCGAAACACAAGTAGGTTTTTTAAAGAAAATGCTTCATTTCATGGAACATGCAGTTCTTCATGAATAGATGCTCTCCTTGCGCATATACTTTGAATTTGTTTCAGCTCATTCTCCACTGTATATTTTAAAAAATTTAAAAATCGAAAGTTACGAAATTATAGGATTATAATTTTCATTTTCAAGTTTCCCTAAACTTCCATTGAAAGAAGTTAGAAATTTGGCAATTTTTCACATTTATGTCGTGGAAATACTGCACTTGAGAGCACTTTTTCACCCCTTTCACATAAAATTGCAATCCTACATGCCAAAAGAACCATAAATCTCTCTAATGCCAATTTATTTTTGTTACAAAGAAAATATATCTCAGGTTACCTTAGAAATTCGTTGTAACGAGATTTTACTGTCATTTTGAAAATCCGATGAAAGATATTTTTTCTCTAGAAATTTCAAGACTTAACTTAAGAAGCTATCGTATCTTCCAAGGCACCATAAAATAATTAACTGGAATAACTAATTTCTTGCACCTCTAAAAAAGAGGGTTTGAAATTATATACAGTATAGTTCCATTCATATAGCAAGGGTTGCCAACATCGAAGTGATCAAGAAAATACAGCATACTTTTTTTTTCTTCGCAAACTGCTGATCAATCAATGCAAGGTGATGCGAACTATGGATCAATCAATGAAAGGAGCTGACGACTGACTGAACTGACGCTAAGTTGCGGTGGCGCTCAACTGCTCCGGCGCTCATTTGAGCTTCGTGGTCACTTGACCCGCATCCTTTCACTGCTAGTTTTTTTGTTTTTTGTTTTTATACATGTCAAGATCGACTCCGTGTTGCTTCGAAACCACTTGAGTTTGCGAGTCATGCCGACGAAATGCGCTGGAATCCTGCTTGAATCACAAAGCCAAGAATTTCGTCCACGGAATGTCGGTGACCCTTTCGGCGTTTCAGAAGCATTTCTAGATAATGTTTTATTTTTTTATAGAATGTCTTTTTTTTTTCTTCTCGTGGAAGGAGCAATACTGTGAATGAATGATGAAGACGACCTCGAGTCGAGAAGCGTTTGCAACATCTTCGTGACCTCTTCTTTCATTATTCAAAATGCTGGTCATCGCTGGACTATTCAACATTTCGTCTCTTTCGCTGCATTTTTGAGACAAAACAGTTGCAGATGCGATGATGCGAGTATTATATTATCCATCAACACAGCGCGGCTTCATTTAATCAATGAGAAAAAGGCGTTTTATGAATGAAACCTTGAAGAGCTTCATCATTTTATGCCTAGGTAATCATACAGCATTCAACTTTTCATCATGAAACAGACAATTGAAAGTATTTCAACACTGCTCACTTTAAAAATATTCGAATGTTTTCCAGTTTGAATCGTGACTTGCAGCAATTTACCATGGCATGAAAAAGCCTGGAACTGGAAATAACGAAGATGTGAAACCTTCAAATCCTTTGAATACCACAGTTTTAAGTTTTGGCCCTCGTATTACTGCAGAAAATTAGATTCAGTACTCATGGGTACATCCAGCATTCCCTAAACAGTACGAGTTCATTCTGTCAACGTGTAGATGTCGCTCACTTCATGCATCGCACGAGAATATGTCAGAACTTTCTAAGGTATTGTAAAGCGGTGTTTCGTGCGACACCTACGTAACATATAAGGATACATGTTCTATGTTTTCAGAAGAGCAATAAAAATAATTTGATGAAAGTGTATGAATTTTTATATCAGAATACAGATATGAATAACCTGACACATTTGTAAACTGTTATCATTTTTTTCAGAAACTTTCCGCTGAAAAGAAAATTCATTATAACTAATTTAAATTTTGTACTTGAAATTGCGAAATGCGCTGATTCGTACTCAAAAGCACATTTTCACGCATCACGAATTTCACAAAAATTGAATATGCTTTACAACCATGTATTTTTCCACATAGTATGCTGTGTATTTTTGCGTCATTCCAATTTAAAAACGCGTACTTCTTCTGATAAGATAAGAATAGATGCTTCAGAATGCTTTCATATCATCAATTTTTTTTAATTTTGCAAGTTTTTAATGCGTCGTGCATAATGCTTACATAAACGTTTACGAATTTTTTAAAATCTTGAATAATCTCGACGTAATTTTCAAGTCCATACAGACGAAATTATGACCAGTCATCAATATTTTGTAGCTTTTTGTGATTAGGAAGCCGTGCCTCTTATAATACGAACGTGAACCAATATGCAGTAGTTTATGAGCTTCACGGAGATTCATCAGTCTCTTTAACATTTTTTTTCAGGGGCTGCATTTAGAGGCCATTTACAGGCCTTTTGATTTAAACGAAAACATGGAGCGAGTTTTAAATGCTCAGAAACCAATTCTCGACTGGTTCAAGCTTCAGGAGGTCAAGAAACTTCAGATGGAATTCCAGCTTCCAACGAAATATAAAAAGGAGAATGAATTCCTGCTCAAGCATGAGGAAATTTCGATTCTGCAAAAATAGTGCCTGAGATATCTATCCTACAGTTTTTTTTCTTTCTATTGGAAGCTGGAAAATAAACTTTTAAAAAAACCTGACTTTCTCTGTCGATTCCAGCGTGTAATAGAGAATGCGATTTCCATATTCGAAGCGTGTAATAGCATGTCGGGCGAGAACTGAAGCGCAGTCAGAAATCCCCTCAAGAAAAAAAAAATCAATGGAAAAATAAAGGAAGAAAATCATGGGTTCTGGCTCCACGATTACAGTATTAGCGAGCTTCAGGATCACGAAATCACTTTCCCTTTTACGACGATGTCGACAGCGGTGATCGACCGGGAATCGAAACCCGTCACGACACTGTTCCATTCCACTGCTCATTAAACATGCATCTCGCCAAGATATTGATTTTTTTTTTTCAAAAACATTCCACTGCTCATTAAACATGCCTCTCGCCAAGATATTGATTTTTTTTTTTCAAAATGAAATTTCAAACTCCAAACCGTAGCTAAACGGCAGTGGTACGAACCACAGAATCACCCATGTGAATCATGCAACCCAAAATCATGCGTTTCTTTCGACGACGGAAAAAAAAAATCAAGAAAGCTTTTTTTTCGGGAAGCTTTTGAAGAACTCAAACAGGACTTTCAAAAATAAGTTATCATGCAGGGACATTTGTCCGAGTAACAAGAACGAAATTTTAGTTGACATCCAAATTCCATTTCATTCCCGACGATTAATAAATCAATAATAGGAAACAATCAGCAACATGGTTTAAAAACAATTTTACAAAAAATAGTCTCAATTCGTTTCATTGTGAACGTTTGTATTTGACACTTAAATTTTTTTCCAAAATCAAAAGCCGAACCTCAGCCCAATGGACTCAAATCTTTATTGGAAAGACTCGAAATACCATTTTAATTATGCATGTGGGTCTGAAAGTTGGGGAAAAAACCATGGTTTGAAATTCCAAATATTGAGACCGGTTTCATTGAGGAACTTGCTGGGAAAGAGATCACGTTTGAGCACTGCCTGTGAGCTGCGATTCGTACTGTATTTATAAATTCATGATTCAAACCTACTTTCCAAAAATCATGCAATATATTTTTTCCTAAAATGACTTATTGAAATCCGGGTCCAGCCCATACTTTCACGTGGTTTCGAGTTTCATGAATACAGTCTGGAGTTCAATTTTAGAAAGGAAAAAGAACCGGAACACCAACCACATGAATTCTTGACTATAACTCAAAC